GTGTCTCCTTCTATCTTACCCTCCCCCATTCATGCTCTCTCTCTGTCTCAAAAATAAATAAACGTTAAAAAAAATTTTTTTAAGGGTAGGGGAATACTCCTATGTTCACGTAAAAAACAGATGGAGTAAGAAAAGAATATTACATGCTAATGTTAATCAAACATACAAAAATCTCTAAAATACCAGTACATAGAGTACTTCCAAAAATGTAAAAATATGGGACACCTGGGTGGCTCAGTCATTAAACGTTCAACTTTGGCTCAGGTCATGATCTCACAGTTCGTGGGTTCAAGCCCCGTGTCAGCCTCTGTGCTGACACCTCCCCTCCAAGCTTGGAGCCTGGACCCTGCCTCAGATTCTATGTCTTCTTCTCTCTCTGCCCCTCCCCCACTCTCTCATACTCTCTCGCTCTCAAAAATAAACATTAAAAAATTGTTCTAAAGAAAATTTAAAAATATAATTCTTCGGGGGTGCCTGGGTGGCTCAGTTGGTTGAGCGACCAGTTCTTGGTTTCACCTCAGGTCATGACCTCACAGTTCATGAGTTCAAGCCCTAAACTGGGGTCTGAGCTCGTGGCGCAGAACCTGGTTGGGATTCTCTCTCTCCCTCCCTCTCTCTGCCCTTCCCCCACTCATGCATGTGTGTGTGTGTGTGTGTGTGTGTGTGTGTGTGTGTGTGCGCACTCTCTCTCTCTCAAAATAAATAAACTTAAAAAATTGTAATTCTTTATGTCCAAGTTGTGTTTCCCTAGAATTACAAGGTTACTCTAACATTGGAAATTCAATCAATTCACCATATTTGTTTTTTAAAGAGTCCTTTTACGCATTTATTCATTCAAATACTGGGTATCTATCATAGGGAGGCACAGTTCTAAGGACTTGAATTAGATCAGGGAACAAATTTCATCATTTCAGAGGAATCAGAGGAATGCACATAATTAACTCAGTGATCATTCATGAGAAAGCCTCCCTAAACTATGAAAGATAAAATTTATAACAACATTAAAGCAAACGGTAAAGATGGAATGTATATCCCATTGATATTAACAAGAGGTATGCCGATTTAATGACTTCCAGTCATTATTTTTCTGGAGATTTTATTTAGTCAGTAAAACAAGAAAAAATACAAATGATCTAAGGATTGAAGTGGAAAATTAAAACTGTCGTTATTTAAAATGATGCAATTGCCTAAGTGGGAAACCCAAAAGAATACATAAAAATAAGAATTTTTTTATTAAAAAATTGGTTCTTTTAATGTTTTATTTATTTTTGAGACAGGGAGAGACAGAGTATGAACAGGGGAGGGTCAGAGAGAGGGAGACACAGAATCCGAAACAGGCTCCAGGCTGAGCTGTCAGCACAGAGCCTGACACGGGGCCCGAACTCACGGACCGAGAGATCATGACCTGAGCCGAAGTTGGACACTTAACCGACTGAGCCACCCAGGCGTCCCAAAAATAAGAATTTTAAAGAAAATTTAGCAAGGCTGCTAGATATATTTCAATATATAAAGACCACCTGCATTTTGTATACTGACAATCAGAAAATCTAAATTAAAATGTATGAAATACCTGTGTGATAAAATCATACAAAGAAAAAATTTTAAATGCTTAACACTAGATCTAAAACCATGCACAGCTTTTGTGGGGAGAAAATTACAAAATATTGAACCCCTTTGAAGAAAACTTAAATGGGGAGAATCATCTTGGTCTTGGATTGGAAAGCCCGATACAAAAAATACTGCAATTCTTGGGCACCTGAGTAGCTCAGTTGAGCACCTAACTCTTGAGTTTGGCTCAGGTCATGATCCCAGGGTTGTGGGATCAAGCCCCAAGTCAGGCTCTGCATTGTGCATGGAGCCTGCTTAAGATTCTCTCACTCTCCCTCTGCCCCTCTCCCCTCCTTGCATTCTTTCTCCCTCTCTAAAATAAATTTTTTTAATTAATTAAAAAATACTACAATTCTAAAAATGATTTAGATTCAGCAAATGTCTAATCAAAAGTGACCAAGTAGGGGTGCCTGGGGGGTCAGCCGGTTAAGTGCCCAACTTCGGCTCAGGTCATGATCTTACGGTTCCTGGGTTCAAGCCCCACGTCTGGCTCTGTGCTGACTGCTCACAGCCTGGAGCCTGCTTTGGATGCTGTGTCTCCCCCTCCCTCTGCCCCTCCCCTACTCACGGTCTATCTCTCAAAAATATATAAATGTTAAAAAACATTTTAAAAAAGTGACCAAGTATTCTTGGAGAACCAAAAAACAAACAAAACCCCAAAACCTGATATGCAAATATAAATGATCCCCCACAACTTCCTGATAATAAAAAAGAACTGCACAATGCAAGGACTAGATCATTCTATCTTCCAATTAAACTGGCTATCTGTAAGCCATCAGGGACATAAAAGTTTCAACCAATGTCCTTTCGAAGAGCCTTGAATTGTGTATTTTCTTTAATGTTTACTTATTTATTTTTGGGAGTGAGAGAGAGCGCAAGCTGGGAGGGGCAGAGAGAGAGGGAGACAGAGGATCTGAAGCAGGCTCTGTGTGAGAGCCTGATGCGGGGCTCAAACCCATGAACTGTGAGATCATGCCTTGAGCTAGAGTCAGACTCTTAGCTGACTGAGCCGCCCAGGTGCCCCATCAAACTGTGTATTTTGAGAAATGAAATGTGTGCCTTGGTTACTATCAGTAATGTCAATAACGTCAAAGGAAATGCGGAGTGACCCGACAAGACTGTGTGTTGTGGCCTCCAATACATGCAGAGATATGTAATTTAGGTATCTGTGAGGCAAGAGATTCCCAGAGTTCTTGGCCCTGAAGAGGTCAATTTTTAGGCAATGGCTCAACAGTTCATAATAAACATGAAGCTAGGGCCATTTATTCACCAGGATATCCAGAGCCAAGATGACTGCCTGAAATTTGGCCAGGTGCAATGTTTCTCAGGATCCTTAAGTTTATTTATTTATTTTGAGAGAAAGAGAAGAGAGCAGGGGAGGGGCAGAGAGAGAGGGAGAGAGAATCCCGACCAGGCTCTGCACTGTCCGCACAGAGCCCGAGGTGGGGCTTGAACTCACAAACTGTGAGATCATGACCTGAGCTGAAACCAAGAGTTGGATGCTTAACAGACTGAACATTCCAGGAGCCCCATGGAGTCCTATTTTTTATTAGCAACATCCTGGTTAAGAGATGGAAATCAGTAACATTCTACTGTGCCCCATCACATATGATGGTTAGCAGTGGAATTCATATAGTCCATGAACTCTCATTACTGTTTACTACCCAGGTAGCCAAGGGATAGATGGATGGACGGATGGATGGATGGATGGATGGATGGATGGATGGATTTACCTACTTATGCACTTATTTTTAGTATTAAGGAAAGGCAAAACTGGGTTATTTAATTTTGAAGCAGTGGAGATAAACACCTCTTTAGTAATGGGGTTTATATGAATTTTAATCCTTGGTGGCCTTGTTGTAACTTACGTTGGGCCATATTATTTCAACAAAGAATTCACAGGGTCCTATCTCATCAACAAAACTTGTAAGTGCCAAAGAGTTACCTTAATTTACATTTATTATTTACTGTTGTCATAGATATATCCAAGATGATACATTTTAAGGCAATAGGTAGGTATTAGGGAAATTCAGGCAAGACTACAGTTCAAGTGAGGCATACCTATTAATCCTCTATTTTTAATTACTTTTTAAAGATTATAATGGATACAATGTTTACATTCAGTGTGATCCCCAGGTATAACTATGTTTGAGCCACAGTACTGATTAAGTCTATGAAGCTTTTTCAACTAGTGCATTTTAGCAAATGTTAATTTAGAAATTACGTTGAAGAGGCACAAAAGCCAATCAATGTCCCTTTTATCTTTTTCTTACATATTTTTTGAGTATATAAATTCTATCACATAGTGATCATACATTTGATTATTACATATATAACCAACTTATATAAATTCTTAGTATATGAAATTTTTTTTTAATTTTTTTTTTAACGTTTATTATTGAGAGACAGAGAGACACAGAGCGTAAGCAGGGGAGGAGCAGAGAGAGGAGGAGACACAGAATCCGAAATAGGCTCCAGGCTCTGAGCTGTCAGCACAGAGTCCGACGCGGGGCTCGAACCCACAAACTGTAAGATCATGACCTGAGCCAAAGTCAGTCACCCAACCAACTGAGCCACCCAGGCGCCCCAGTATATGAAATTTTAATATACACATTTTGGAATTCTAATTGGACCTAATAATGGGACTTTGTTTTAATGATTATAGAATTTACTTCAATTCTATATTACAATATTATGTATAAACATTTTTTATTTATTTACCTTTTATTTTCTCCCCCAAACCTAGGGATTTGTTGTTTTTTTTGTTTTTTTTTTTAATTTTTTTTTTCAACGTTTATTTATTTTTGGGACAGAGAGAGACAGAGCATGAACGGGCGAGGGGCAGAGAGAGAGGGAGACACAGAATCGGAAACAGGCTCCAGGCTCTGAGCCATCAGCCCAGAGCCCGATGCAGGGCTCGAACTCACAGACCGTGAGATCGTGACCTGGTTAAGTCGGACGCTTAACCGACTGCGCCACCCAGGCGCCCCGGATTTGTTGTTTTTAAAATCAATGAGTAATCTAAGAGCACTATGGTTTCTATACCTGGAACTTGCTCTGTACATAAAATTTAAAGATCTCTTTTTGGGGGGCTGAGAGTGCTTCCCCAAAAAGCTGCAATCTTTACTTTTTTTTTTTCCATTTAGTCTCCTGACAATGATTGTTTCCCTTAAAAAAAAAAAATGGGGCACCTGTGTGGCTCAGTCAGTTAAGCGTCCGTCTGACTCTTGATTTCAGCTCAAGTAATGATCTCACAGTTCATAGGATCGAGCCCTGCTTTGGATTATCTTTCTCCCTCTCCCTTGGCCCCTCCCTCTCTCTCTCTCCCTCAAAATAAATAAATAAATAAACATTAAAAAAAAAGAACTTAAAAACCACAAAAAGGTATTTACCTGATAAGCTCCTGGGGTGGTCCTGAGTGGCCCCCGTTGTGACCATCAGCCTCTCTTTCTAGGCTATCCCTATCAACTTCAGAGGGCCTGAGATCTAAACCCAAGAGAAAAATAATGGCAGAATCCAGATTTTGTGATAATTTGGTTTGCGGGAGAATGCTTTTTAGCATGCTGGTCAGCAGCAGCACTCGGGAGTGCCCACATACACTGACCAGGAGATTGACATCCTCATATGAGCTGAGAAACCTCCTCAAAGGTCTTAGGGAAGCAAAAACAAAATGCCCCCCCCCCTTTTTCATTACACATTGTGCCACCAGTCTCCATGGATGGGATCTTTTCTTTTTCCCACTAAGAAAAAGTTGTGATAGAAGCAAAGAAAACATCATCAAAGGGATTTGCCTTTAAAGCAGCATATACATTTTTGAAAGCCAGGGTTATCCATAGGGTGGGCCCCCTCCACCTAACTACTGATGAATGAGATGGGTCTGGCCAAATTTCAAGTCAAAAAAATTTTTTTAATGTTTATTTATTTTTGAGAGAGAGACAGAGCACGAGCAGAGGAGGGGAAGAGACAGAGAGGAAGACACACAATCTGAAACAGGCTCCAGGCTCCAAGCTGTCTGCACAGAGCCCGACGCAGGTCTTAAACTCAGGAACAGTGAGATCATGACCTGAGCCGAAGTCAGACACTTAACCAACTGAGCCACCCGGGCACCCCAGCAAGTCAAGTGGATGAGTGTTTCCCAAGGGTCACAATTCCCAAGGACAGTCAACAGCTTTTAAAGGCCTGTCAGTGGAACACATATTCACTTCAGACCTACTTGTCCGTCAAAGTAGATTTCTCACAAAGGGCCACCACCTGGGGTTCAATGCCTGGCTCCTAAGGCCTCCCTGGTGGTGCTCTAATGGCATTGATTTCAGGCTAGCGGACCGGTCTCAGCACCGTCACAGTAGCCTGAGGATAATCACTCTGTGCTTCCCACTCTCCAGGAGGCCTTCACTGTGCCTCTTTTAATATATGCCAATTGTCCCTAGATGCTTCTGTGATTTCTCATCCGTAGGACATCTTTGTCATTAATAAAATATTGACTGGGGGCCTCTCATACACCCAATCATAGTAACTATACAAAGCAAGAATCTGGGATCAATCTCTTACCACCATTTAGGTTGGAAAACCATGAAAGGACGTGCAGACACAGCACAAGGCAGTAACGGCCAAAGTGCAAGTTCACCAGCAGCCAGTACTACTCTCAGGCAGAACTTGCTGTTTGGTGCAGTCAGTGAGCCAAGAGCAGCCTAGAGGCATGCACCCCACCAAAACACTGAGCCACCTTGTGCCAAATGATTTGTGCTGGGGTCTTAAATTATAAAGGTGACTGGATGGTAACACAGGTTAATGCCACTGAAAGTTTATCATGCATAGTCCCAAGAGAAGGGGGCACACCAGCTAACGCTGGGTTGGGGGGAGAGTAGAGTTTACTTTAAAAAAAAAAAAAAACAGGAGGAGATAAAGCAGAAGAGTCAAAGAGATGGCAGCATGAGACAGACTTGGACTGAAGTTGCTGGCCTTTAAGGAGTAAAAACAGATCCACCAAGAAAGGAAAGTGTGAGGCATCTAGAAGCTGGAAAAAGCAAGGAAACAGATTCACCCCAAGAGCCTCCAGTCCTGTTAACATATTGATTTTAGCTCAGTGAGACCCTTTTCAGAGTTCTGATCTCCAAAACTGTAAGCTAGTAAAATTTTTGTTGACTTATGACATCATTTGGTGATTTGTTACAGCAGCAATAGTAAATTCATAACACATTGTAAAGCTGGAATATTAAGGTATAGATTGTGAGGTCAAAGAGAAGCACTTACCTTTATTCAGGATAGAATGGACAGAGCAGAACAGGATGGACAACGCATATACAAATTTCTCAGAAATCTATTCCAAGAAGACTTTGGCACACCCTGTCCCACAAAGTCAGCTTTTGAAAAGGTCCCCAATGACTTTTATGGTTAAATCCCATCCTCATTTAACTCCCCCAATCAGCATTTGGTATAGTTGAGCAAGTCACTGCTCCTTGCTTTGGATTAATGGATTAAGACACCAATCTTAATCTACTCCTGTTCCATGGGATCCTACTTCTCAATTCACTTGCTACTTCCTCCCATGACCCCAACTGCCAAAGTGTCCCAGGGCTTGCCAATCCTCAGGTGAAATGATCTAACCTAATGGTTTTAAGTGCCGCCTATACACTGATGACTGAAACATAGGTGCTCAGCCTGATGAGCTTTGTCTTCCCATGTACCAAGAAGTCTACACACAAGCAGGTCCAATGGCTGAGCAATGATACCAGGAGGGGAAGGCATCTCTTGTGTTTTTCAGCCATTCCACATTATCTGTGGCTTTTGTCCTCATAGTCCACAACATATCACCTAAACTCCAGGAATGTACCTGATTTCCAGGAAGGAAAGAGAAAGAATGGAGGCCAATCATTGAAGAGAAAAAGCCATTGGAAACTATCCCCTTTTTAACAGCTTTCCCAGAATCCACACTGATGACTTCTGCCTACTTCTCACTAGCCAGGACTATGAAATAAGTCTTCCCATAAACCCAGGGAAACCTGAGAAGTAGGAATATTTTTTTAACTATATGCCTGGAGATAATCCGGATTCTATTTATAAGGGACCAAGGGACAAAGAATATTGAGATGACTAGATACTACTTGCCGTACAAAGCCAGAGAGAATTTTCCTATAAATAACCAAATAAGGATATATATAAAGAGCCCATTTTATAACCCACTTGCAAATATACTAGAAAGCACTACCTAAAAACATTTACAAAATGCTCTTACATTGCCAATTAAACTTCCAAATATCTCGTAATTCACTGAAGACTTATATAGGGAAGTCTTTAGAGGTGAACCATAATGAAAACACCATTATATGAAATGAGTATGATATTGCAGAAATTCTCTAGAGTGTCTCTATTTTTTAAATGTTTATTTTTTGAGAGAGAGAGCACACGCGACTGCAGGGAGGGACAGAGAGAGAGACAAAGAGAGGATCAGAAGCCAATTCCACACTATCAGCACAGTGCCTGACACGGGGCTCGAACCCATGAGCCGTGAGATCCTGACCTGAGCTGAAGTCCGACACTTAACTGACAGAGCCACCCGGGCGCCCCGAGCATTCATGAGTCTCTTAAGGGATGTGTATTTACCAAAAATCATCCCCACAACTTTACATTCATTCAGCTTCTTTCCAGGGTGGGTTTTCACACACAGATTAAGATTTATAAGATGGATACACCATTTCCCATGAACCTGATAACCACAGTTTCTCTCCAGTGTGGATTATCATTTTTTACTAAAGGTCAAAAGCCAAAAACCACACACACACACACACACACACACACACACACACAGGCATTTCCCTTTGCTGCCTCTGTGAGATTCATAACATTTGCTACCTCTGTGAGATTATCAAAGATTATCAAAGATTCGCTTATGGGGCAGAGGTAAAGTTTTCCCGCATTCATCTTACCATCAGAGGGTTTCTCTCCACTGCATGTTATGACTTACTCATTGACACCTGAACAATTTTCAGCACTTCTCACAGTCATGACTCTTCTTGCATATGAAGCAATCAAGAATTTCTGAAGGTTTTCCCATATTCCTCGTATGTATAGAAATCTCTCCACTGTTGAGTTTTTACATGTTGAGTTCTTTTTTTTTTTTTTAATTTTTTTTTTTCCCAACGTTTATTTATTTTTGGGACAGAGAGAGACAGAGCATGAACGGGGGAGGGGCAGAGAGAGAGGGAGACACAGAATCGGAAACAGGCTCCAGGCTCTGAGCCACCAGCCCAGAGCCTGACGCGGGGCTCGAACTCACGGACCGCGAGATCGTGACCTGGCTGAAGTCGGATGCTTAACCGACTGCGCCACCCAGGCGCCCCACATGTTGAGTTCTTAAAATTACTGTAAGTCTTCCTGTTGTCTTTTACATTTTTAGGGTTTGATGCCAGTATGAAGTCTCAGGTGGATATTAAGGCCTCAGCACTAAGGTTTTCCCCACATTTCTTACATACAGATGGCTAATCCCTAAAGTGAGCTATGTGCTATCAAAGCATGTGAACATATTTTAAGCTGTATCTCATTCTTAGCTTCACGTGACTTTTACAGTAATCTCTTATTTATTTATTCATTCATTCATTCATTCATTTATTTACTGCACATGCTAATGGGAGGGGCAGCGAGGGAGAGGGAGAATCTCAAGCGGGCTCTGTGCAAGCGGGCTCCATGCACAGCACAGAGCCCGATGATGTGGGGCTCATCTCACAACTGTGAGATCATGACCTAAGCCAAAATGAAGAGTCAGATGCTTAACCAACTGAGCCACCCAGGCGCCCCTCTTAGTTATTTTTACATATTCCGAGATCAAGAGTCACATGCTCTACCAACTGAGCCGGCCAGGCGCTCCTGAGTTTTACAGAAATTTTAGGTACGTAAGATTAACGTTAGCACAACAGCAACAAAGACTCTCGCACACTCCTTGTAACTGTAGGGTTCTCTCAGGTGTGAGTTCTTACACGTTCTGTAAGGTATGAACAATTACTGCTTCTCCCACATACATTATACGAATGAGAATTCTGCCCCAGGGAAGCTCCTATCACGTAAGGATGAAAAATGAGTAAAGCGACCTCACATCCTTCAATTTCACAAGGCTCTTTATCCAAATGAGTGTAGATGTGAATACGAAAGGAGCTGCTGGGTGACTCAGTCAGTTAGGCGTCCCACTTCGGCTCAGGTCATGATCTTGTGGTTCGTGAGTTCGAGTTCCCGCGTCGGGCTCTGGGCTGATGGCTCGGAGCCTGGAGCCTGTTTCACATTCTGTGTCTCCCTGTCTCTTTCTGCCCCTCCCCCGCTCACACTCCGTCTCTCAAAAATAAGTAAACGTTAAAAAACTTTAACAAGATGTGAATACTAAGGTCTGAGGAACATTTGCAGGTGTTTCTCAAGTGCTGAAGACTGAGTGGAGGTTTTCCCACATTCCCTACATTCATACGGTTTCTCTCCAGAGTGAGTTCGCATGTGCATGTTAAAGC